AAACGTCTATTAATTCATTTCAGAGACCCAGCTGAGAGGCTTGCAGGATTTTCCTTTCCAAACCAACAGACAGTCCGGTGGTTTACCACTAGCATTTTTGAGAGAAGAGTCATCATCCTATTATCACCTAATAAGAATTTGAGCCAAAAATTAACTTGAAGGCAACCCTTAAATCCAACTCCACATATTTGTTCTCTACTGGTTGCCTTTGGCATGTGGGTGGCAACATTTAGCACAGTATATGTTTCAGCACACTTTAAATAAGTCACAGATGGGCAGTAGGGCAGAACATTCATTCTATATTCTCCACAAATTGGAGAGGATCTTCCTGCACGGAGGACTGTCTCCTCTGTCTGTCTCACGAAAATAGACTTTGACTACAAAACTGCTGACAAATTTCCATAATGCAAGTTTAGCCATTCCAGTAAAGAACCGACACTAGATGTTGATATTTATACACAAATTACAAGCAAAATAATATGCCTGCTTTCATGCCAGTATCTTCAAGGAGATAATTTTATTTGCAAACATAATTTCATGCTCTTTAGGTCATTGGTATACAATAATCAAACTGGGCACTGCAGTTCATCCCATCCTGTGGTTGTATCCTTCGAGGACCGAAAACAGCGCTGGAATCTCCTGAGAGCATGTGAAATGATACGTTTTCATTTAGAAAGCCAAATGTCATCATCATGTCTCTGTCCCTTTTGCTTTTAGAGCGTCTGGTTGATGTGGTGAGTTGGCCAAGCAAGTAAGAACATGGGAGGGAGACATTTATCATCCTCGAGACTACAGAGCTGTAACTGCCTGTTTGGAAATCCTGTGGACAGTCAGCGGAAAAAAAAAGAAAAAGAAGAAGAAAATTCAATGGTGATTGCATTACAAGGATGACATCGCTGCGAACCCACTGCTTCTGTGTTTAAGTTTAGGGTGCTAAAAAAGTGAATGCATCACTTACAAATAAGTCCAATAACAATATCTATCTTCTTTTGCTGCTTTTGTCAAATGTTGGTGAGCTTGTATAAGTTTTTTCTACCTGATTTATTGTTCACTGTTCATCAGTTGTGCATCACAATCTGTCAAACAATGTAAACATGAAGCTGGCAGCTATGATTCATGGCTCCATTTCTCAAAAGATGATATCCTGCTTGCCAAAAGCCACGACAAGCACATGTTTCAGCATCGCACATGTTTGCATGCAACACGTTTCCATGGAAAGAGAATTCATTCGAGGTTTCAGACGTGAGAGCTTCTGACTTTCTCTTTAGAATTTGACTGTTTGCCAGCTTGCCACTCTCTTTCTAAAAGGTTTTTTCGTGTGTCTTTCTTTTCTTTTTCCAAGACCTGTCTAGCCAGCCATGTCGCCATGTCCTGAGATGATCTGTTGTTGACTTTGATTCATGTGAATGCAGAGAAGTGAGTGAGTGATTGAATCCTGGCCAGTCTAGGGTAGTTTCCCTCTTGACAAAAATAACAGATAATGTAAAATGTTTTAAATCATATCCAGCAAAGTGTCTAACACATAAACTGAACTTTGGTCTTTATGTAACACTCAATTCTTCCAGTACACAGGGCAGACATTGATGAATTGTTGGAGATAGGATAGTACTTTTTCAAGAATCTCTCTCACCATTTCACCTCTGCTCTGATTTTTAATACTGCCTAATATCATATCCATTAGGATCAAGGAGGCCTGGTCTCCTATCCATCTCGCTAAGTGTCTGTTTATGCTTGTGGCATTTGAGAATCCTTTCATGTTTAAGTTGCAGAGGTAGCTCTCTCAAGAACCTGCAGATCAGAGCACTGTACAGTGTTTAAGTCTGGGCATATACACTTCTGTGTTTCAGTACTTTCATGAAAGTCTGGCAGTTACAGTGCAAAACGTCTCCTTGTGTCTCCATTACCCACAACAGGGATTATTTTTAAGATTATTAAATTATATATATTTTTTGTTTTGCTAAAATATATGGTTATGTCTAATAAAGATTAATTTTCCAGTCTATTGGATCCAATCCTTACTCCAAAATACATCCATTGCACTGGACACCAGGAAATATTAACAATAAACATTGGATAATAAATTATAGAGACATTCAAAGGGTATTGAAATAGCTGTATGTATAAATAGTGTGGGTGTTTATCCTTATGAATTCACAACTTCCTTAGAAATGTATTAAAAAAAAAGGGCTCAGTGGGAACTATTAGAACTATTGTTCAAAATACACACACATTGAATCCTGGTTTGTGGGATAAAAAACGTTGCCTCACTAGAAAATGTCCCATTGTACCCGTCTCAAAGCACACACATTAAAATTAAAGAAATATTATGTTTTTGAGCTCTGTTTCAATAGGAAACAACGAGCCCACCTGCTGCCCCTCGGACACAGAGGCTCTGCAGAAGACGCAGTGGGGGGTATCACTTTGCGGCCCTGATTGATGACCATAGGTCCCGCAGGAAGTAACCCCGCCACCATGAAGGAGTGTTTTCTGAACCCCAAGTGGTATCCGGGAAAACAGATCGACTCCAGTCAGGGAGCGTGTGTACTCATAGGCCATCTTAATGTTTGGATATACTGAGTCACATGGGATCTTGCTGCAAAAAGGGGGAAAGGAATCAACGGCTGCAAAATTGAGCCCAGAAAGCAACCAAAATCCAGTGATCCTAATGCCTGCTATTCAAACTGATGGGTATGACACATAAATGCTTTGTCTTTTGTTTTAAGCATCATAGCACCTTGTGGATAACTTACTTCCACTTGTTATGATCCCTCTTTAGAGGTGTTTTTCATATCAATCAAGTCTCTGCTGACCTAAAAGCAATTTTGATATGGCTGCACCTTCAATGTCATGATTGCATGTGACATTTGAGGATCACAAAATAAGGAACTTATAAGCCAAATATAACAAAACAAATTCTATAGTTTGGTAAAAACACATATATTAAAATAATAATTTCTCCCCCTTTTGGAAAAATATGTTCTGTTCTATGTTGGTTTTCTTCGATATAATCAAGAAACCAGAATCCAAATATAAATTCAATATCTTTAAATCAACAAAGTCAGTGAGCCTACACGTATGCTCATTTAGTTTGGGATGAAGTATGGTTTGCAAATATCAGAAGCAATGTATGTCCATATTTCAAAACCCTTTTTTGTACTTTTTAATACTTATCTTAATATAAATGCAGGGGTTAATTTTTCTTTAAATTGACTGGCACTTTTAAAAAGTGTTAAAACCTTAAAGCTGACCTGGCTGATCAATCATTGATAACATTGAATACAGTATATAAACTCAATAATCTCGAGAATGAACCATGGTCAGTGGGAAACAAGTCACAGTATATATTTGTCTAAATGCACACAGTGTTCTTTAGCATTTGGTTTAATTCATAAAGATCTCCTGACACCCAAAATGTAAATTAAATCAATTGTTTATTGTGTCTTTCAAAGGCAAAAAGTACAACCACTAAATACTTTACTTCCGCTTTACACTGAAGGTGCTGTTAAAAAAAACACATATACTGGGTCCTCACCGAACCAAGCTGCTAATATCCCCCTGACCTCACCATCATCAAGTCACCTTAGAGAAGTGGAACATCATCTGAGTTCATTTTAATCACACAAATTATATTTAAGTTAAGTGGAAAGAAGCACATTCACTTCTATAACATATTTGACAAATGTATTAACTTGATTCACTTTGTTCCCATTGGGTAGATATTGCGTTGTGTCCTTGGGCAAGACACTTCACCTGAACTTGCTCCTGTGTGTATTGTCCACAGTAGACCATTACATGTATGTATGATCTGTATGTGTAATGTGTATCTGTAAAGCGCTTTGAGTCATTGATAAAGCGCTATAATAAATATAAGGATTATTATTATTATTATTTACATGTATTGAAATATAATTTTAATTTTGGTTCACAATTTGGGTAAAATGTCAATCAAAAGGTTAACTGTAACTTCAAATGCAAGAGAAACTAAACTTATTTGTATATGTTCGGCTTCTCATGTTAATCAAAAGAAAATCAATAAAGGTATTACTTCAACAAAATGAACATTCAGCCTATTTGTGATAAAACTATATATTTGTATTTATTTATGAGATTTTTTCCAAAGAGTTAATTTGTCGAATTAAAACCACATAACAGAGCATGGGTATTGAAGGGATCCAATGTTTGCAAAAAATTACTATAAAAAGTTAAATACCATTTCGGCATTGCACAAAACTGTACATAAAAACTGTTTGGTAGTTATATTGTACGAGAGCATAGTAAAAATACATGGGGTCAATTGATAAAGCAGCAGAAGTTGGCAATAATATTTAGTGACGAAGAATTTAATTCACCAAGGAAATCTGGGGGAAGGGTTTTCGTTAGAGCACAGGACTAAACGTGTGTGAGAACAGTTTAGGCCTGTATGGAAAAATACTCATAATTTATATACGGGAAAAAACATAACCCTGCTGCTGTATGTGGGTGGATTTGGACAGGCAGCTGCTCTCGTGCACATCGTTCATTAACGTGCACGATCACATCTCTGACTTCCATAATGGCAGGTATCATTTACAAGAGAGATAGCATCAGCAGAGGCGCCCAGTCTGTTTAGCTGTGGTAACACCTGAGTCAAGATATTACTTTGCCCAGTAAGTAAGTAATGAGAAAAATTACCCAATATATTGAAATGCACTCAGGATCAAAAGTTGTGCAAACAACTCGCTAATTATAGGACGAATTAAATGCATTATTAAACCCGTTTTAGATTAAAAAGAAACACAGTATTCCTTACAAAATCGAACTTTCATTCAGATACATTATGTCACTTACTTTTATGAATTAAGGAAAACCTTTAAGAAATCGCTTCTGGAGTTACAGTAGCCTAACTGTAGTTTAATGTTTTCTATGTTATTTCTGTTTCTTTAAACGGACATAATCAAAACCGAACCTCAATGATTTATAGGCTATAACCAATGGGATGAATCAACAATATGAACAACAAATGGCATTTAAGAAAGCCTTTATTTAGTTAATATTTACAAGGAAATTATAAAAATATATAATTAAAGCTTTGGCAAATATTTTACATTTAGACAATTTATCTCTTTGTTCACATCGTCACTGTATAGCATCGAGATCATGGTCACAAATTAAGATAATATTATATACGGCAGATTACAGAATAGCCCTTGGTTTTTATAATAAAACATCAATGACAGGTTGGAATAAAAAATGTATTCTCCAACAAAAAAAAAGATCCTGCAGTCTCCATGAGAGAATAGCAATATGAAGTGTTCAAAAGAAGAAACAGCTTACATTCATGTAGCGAGGAAGGTCGGTCACTGCATCCACAATGAACGTGAATGGGCCTGTGTTTGACTAAACTGCAAACACTCGGGAAACAAGCCGTTAGTGTTCAGACTTACTGTTGGATTTGTTGAAATTAGTTCAGTTTAATTCGGTCTCGTTATTAAGGTGGTATAAGTCCCGGTTATGATGATGAGGTAGGGAGACTGAGTCCATGCACACTGTTCAAGTCTTCGTGTTGCTGCTGCAGCTGCAGCTGCTGCTGCTGCTGCTGCTGCTTGCTCAGGGGAGTGGGCTGTTTTCTGTCTCCTGCAAAACCCAAATAAGACATTAAAATCTGTGTTCACTCCCAGAGATAGAATCAGATTCATTTTCCTACAAGTTCTAAAAAGTTAAGCTCCGCTCTATCAGAAAAAACGTAATTATTAACAAACAGTCTCAAAAAGGCTTCTCTTCCATTCTATGTATACTGCGTAAAAATGTCCCCAGACCACCTCGCATGCCAAGTCTGGTAGGTCAATATTTAATAACTGACATATAATTAGGCTTCATTTGGGGTTTGGTAAATGTTTACACTCGTTGCGGTCGTTGCTTATTGCGAAAGCGAGTGAGAGAGAGGCTGCGGGAATAACTTGATAAAAAGGGATTGCCAACAGTTGTCATAATTAATTGATCGAAGTAAATAGTCTAACACTCTGTTTTATATTTTACAAATGTGAGAATATCTTAAGAATATTAAAATATCAAAAACAAATGACATACAATGATGGTAACGAAAAACAATCAACAAAATTAGTTTGGGGAACATTTGCTGGGTGTTTTAGACACTTCATTGGATTATTGGAATAAATATCGGGAAAATATATTTTATACACCAAATATAATTTAAAGCAACAGCACCCCAGTGTTCATGTTTTGTTTTAAAGGATTGGACACATCTGTCACCAGTTTCCATATTAAATCGTGGTCCAATACCTTCTCGGGCCTGGTGCTTGAAGTTCATCGGTGAGTGGATCTCCCCCGCGTGCATGCCCATCCCGCCGCCTGGGTGCGACAGGGCCGGGCTCTGCGGCTGCCAGTGGTGGTGTCCCGGGGCCACGTATCCGCCTGCTGCCCCGCTGTACACCCCGTACTGGTTGGAGGGAGAGTACGCACACGCGGAGACATAACCGGACAGTGCGGAGGAAGGCTGCAGAAAACAGATAAGACACGGACAAAATCAGCAAAACCCCGGAAAATGTTCTAATAGAATGTGACAGTGACATGTGGCCTCCAGCTTCTCTAACACTAAGTGGTTTAAAGGAAGACGGGAGGAAATACACCACATTCACTCTAATTTAATTCAGCATATAAGACTAATTGGAGTATACACAGATGTCAGTCCGTCTCATTCCTAAAACAGCACACTTAATCAACAGTAATAATACTCTGTGGAGTCTCAGGGGTACAATCTGATCAAGCAGAGCCCTCTGTGGCCTTACATGACTCTGTTTAGGGTCCCTGATATGACAACTTTTCACATCCATGCCACAGGCCTTTGGAGCGAGAGCACTACTTTACTATATAGGCTACCTGCCCATGTTGGCACTAATTAGAATCATTCATTTTAAGAAAATATTATGGCGATATGAATACAGAGTAGCCTACACATTTGATGTAGGCCTATACACGTTACATTATGTACACATGAATATTACCTGAGCGTATTTTATGTCAGCGTCAATGGCTGTTTTGTCAATCCCGTTGACAGAGTGAGCCGCGGGGAAAGCTGCTCTGTTGACGCAGCTCCAGTCCTCCATTTTCTGTGCATATCCGTCCGTCCCAGCAATGGCTGAATTAGAAACAGTCAGTGCATGTCAAAAATGTTTAAAGGTAAAAAATGCTACAAAAAAGTGCGGTTCCATTCCTTTATAATGTGTTAAGTAAATTCAAGTATCAATATTTGTAATTCTTTACACGTAGCTTTTTTTAAATGTAGTTACATGAATAGGTTTTGTCTTTTTTTCTGTTTAGCCTATAATAAATTGGACAAAAGAAATTGGGCTTTAAAATGTATTTCATTTTCAAAACAGCAGGCTTATCAAAAATAATATAATTGAGAGTTATTTAAACAATGACATCATGAAATAACGAAATTATCATTATAGTAAAGTCCGTAATTGTTTATAAAAAGGTGTGATGCAAGATTTGAGTCTATATTGAGTGAAACAAATCAAATCAAAAACAAAACACACAGAAAAACGAAGGAAACAACAAATACATATTATATATATTATTATAAATATGTTTCCCTAATTTAATAATATATGTTAACAATTGTTTATACTGTCTTGTCAATAAAGCCCTATATTGCATCACGTAAAATTCTCTTACAAATACAAATATGTCGTCGAGCTGTTTCAATAAAAAAAAGGCAACATTTACAAACATTTTGTCTAGGTTATTTTTGGATATCGTTGTAAAAAAAAAAACACTGGACCAGGTGACTTAACACTAACAATGACTGAAGGACCAGAAAGGCAAAGAGAAATGGCAGTAATGACTACTTGAGGGATTAGTGGGGATAAAGCAGGTGAGCAAGGTGTTTGCAAATGCATCATCCCATGAAAAGGCCTATTGTGAGTGGCCTTACTGCTTTCTGGCTGAATGGTGAAACGGAGGCCTGTGCCACTTGTAATGGACACATTGTCCTGCCAGTTTCCAGTAATGTAATGTTGCAATTCATCATGCTGGAGAACACAACAATAACCAGCTGTTCGGGTTTATTAAAGCTGTGGTGTGAAAACACAGAGGCCTTTCTCACAGGGCATGAAGTGATTGTTTTCCTCACCTGAAGAATCCATAAAGGCTCGTATACCGAGGATGTTGCTGACGGTGTGTGCTGAGGGCCAGGCCCGGGATATGCTCATATGTCCAGCCGTCATCGGTACTCCAGGATGGTTGCCCATTTTAGCGCTAGTGGGCGACATGGCGTTGGGGTAGGAATACGGGTAAATGTGGTTGTAGGAGAGCCCGGCCTGCGCGGAGCCTTGTTTACTGCTCTCATACTGGTTGGGCTGGGAGAGATTTCCAATCTTGTTGCGTAAAATCCTGCTGATCGAGCTAACCGACGGGACATTGTACTTGTCACAAACTCCATCTGCCAAAAGCCTGTCCCGGATCTCCCATGCAAAGATCCCGGGGTCTCCTTGTTTGTAATCCCTGATATTTTTCACCACGTTCGGCGTCGTGACTCTCGGTTTGCTTCCACCGATGGCACCGGGTAAGATGGAACCCGTCTCGTTGTACCTCGCCAGAATCTTGCTCACGCAGCCGTGGGAGACTCGGAGTTGCCGGCTTATATCGCAGGGTCTTATCCCCAGCTGGGCCAACTCCACTATTCTTAGCCGTATGGCATTGGGCAGGGGTCGCCCATTGACGAACACACCGCCGAGCTGGTTCACCTCTCCATAGTTTTGCTCTGCAGGAGAATGGAGGCACAAAAGACATATATTTACTCTGCATGAAGTGAGTACACATGCATTTCTGACATGTTACAATGTACTATCATCATGTTGTCATTTTGATGCACTTCCTCTGCCACAAAATATAATTTCTTAGAATAATTATATGTATTTATTGTTAAAAGACAAAATGTTCAGGCTGCGGACACAGGCCATACAGCTCCTGTAATTTTCACCACAAATTGAGGTTACAGAGTTCTATCCCATAACATGTGTCAGCCTACACAGACAGCTAACCTCAAAGGCTATTTTGCAACTTTATAAAAGTTTTTAACAATTTGACTCAGATTTCTCTCCGCCAGCCCTGCATACACAACAAAAAATACAACATAAAAATGGCGAAGTTGAGGATTTGACACTCGAGAGCTCTTCAAAGACTCACTCCATGGGATAATTGGTGGTGTGGTTCCATTTAAAGATTTAAAGCTTTAAACAATGCCTGCTGAATAGAGCCGGAAAAATCCACCATGGAGTAAACTTGACAAGTTGTCGTGCAAAAAAAAAAGACACTCTTGATTTGCAAATTATCTGCAGTTGAAGAGGGAAAAAAAGGAACATTTCTGTCTTTACGCAGGCGTGGTGAGTGTGGATACGCTTCCATAAGCTCCCTGCCAGTGAAGCATGCAGATGGTAACGCGGGCTTACCCATTTGCCTATACGTCTCGAGATGCCAGGGAATATAGGTGCCCCTTCTTGCTGAATGCGTCCGGGAGAAGGCAAGAGAAGGAAGGGGAACGGGAGGAATGAGCCCCACAAGAGGAAAAATAGACCTCTTTAAAATCGCCTCCGAGTGCAGCGCGCCCCCTTCTTGTTTTTTTGGAAACAAGTGACCGCAAGGTAGAATGGCACCGAAGTGATCTTCATCCGATAAAAGCAAATTGGAGTTATCCCGGGGAGTCCGTCGTTTGCTGAAATTAATTTGACGCGTCCTCCACGTCAATCTTCGCTGTTATACGCCGAGCCTCTGCTCTGCTTTCATTGGTTCGTCCCGAGCTGGGAACGCTGTCAGCCAATGCAAACCCCACCCGGTCGGAGCAGTGCAGCCTCCTTGAATATTTTGCACAAGGGAAGTAACAGAAAGGGAAACGTTCCATCCAACATGCAGCCTTCTGGTGAGGACGTATACACCATATAGTTTTGCACTTGGATGACAGTGGACGGGAACACTTCCTGGAATTGTTAGCGTTTTATATTGGAAACACATGTTTTAGTGCATCGGTTTGATTAGAAAAGTAGCATCACCTGAAAGTATCCACCTGTCGATGGGATGTGCAAATATCTGATTGGCTATTCTATTTAAATAATTGTATTGAACATACTCTTTTTGTCTGCATTGTTTTCCATAGTTGAGCTGTGTTGAAGCTGAAGGAGTAGTTTGAGAGCAAAGGGGAAAGTTGCTCACTAGAGTTTTTATAAGGCAGTGTTAGAGCATCAAACATGGAGGGGCTCATGTAATCGATACCTCTGTAGAGCCCAGACTATGGCATATCGACTGGATGCCAGAGACATGCATTATCACAGCATGTTTTCGGAGTTTCCTGTGCAAGTTTAGAAGGTATCGTTTATATGCTCGCAAAACGTTACTTGTAAAACTTAACAGTCGACCCAATGGTAACAAGGTGCAGTGTCCTTATCCCCCACTACCTCCACCTCCACCTCCACCCCTCTCCTCTGTGTCTCCTGGCCACTTCACCATCCAGATCTGGGAGTAGGACACATGGAAAGCATCAGGTCTGGTCAGAGAAGTTGAAGAAGATCGCCTCAATTTGCTATTGATGTCTGGATAGCATTCATATTTCATATTTATATGCTGTATTTGCATGCACATTGCAGGGTTGTGGTGGCTAAATGGATGTAACTTCATATTTTGCTGATGCTGAGTATGAATAATTGTGGAAACAAGTGATATTTAAGGTGTCAGTGCCACTGCTGTCTGACTCACTGCACATTGTTCTGTTTCTCCCTTAGCTGGCAGGACCCCCCTCATCTGGACACCAGAGGAACTGCAGGCTACAACCTTTTTGAAATGTAGGACTTCTCGGGGAAGGTAAAAGTATCTCTGAAAATGTCACTAGAAAACAAAGTACCTTTCCCACTTGCATTTAAAATTGACATCAATATGAGAAGGTGGTGAATTTTCGCTTAAATGTATCTTTTTGTTTTATAGTTTTTCTCAACGAGTCTGCTTTATTAACTCAGAAACATTATCAAATACGTCCTGTATTGTACCCCTAACTGTTAAACATGCAATAGTTCATTTTAACATGTTGGTCGTTATCATTTATTGTTGGCTGTAACCATTTTCAGATTTAATGTAATTGCACTTAACGAACGATATTTCAGTTTTTAGACCTAAAATAGTTTAAACATTCTGGAAACTAACAATTCATGCAAAACTGAAACGTCTCGCTATATATCATGCTAGTATATATTGAATTTGCATTACTTTTATTTTTGTTTTGTATCATCTTCTCCTTTACAAGATGGATGATATATTCAAATGCACACAGTCTCTAAACGTATTGTTACTAATACAATATAAGTTTATCTCTTAAATTCATACAGTTTAGAATATATTAAAAGCCAAAATGTGCGCGGCAGCAGATTGGGTTTTCTACAGTTTAAATAGGCAGGTTAGATAAACAGCAGAGATCCGTATAAATAAAGCCAATGCGATACTGGTGGCCTGACCCTAACCCTGGCAATTTATTTTTGAAATGTAAATATATCGAGTGAAAAACGAGATTAATATATAATAACGTTTGATAAAATCATCTCCGTAAACATTACACGCTGCACCAGTCTTAATTGTTATCAGGTGCGACTCTTTAACCGTCACTTTGTTAGCTTGTGTGACAAAACAAAAACAATCTTAAACGGCTCTTCACAGTTTCCAGGATTCAAAGTTTTTTCATACAATATCTGCCCACATAAATACTGCAGTATAAACACTAACGCCAACTCAACAGTTATTATTATTCCACATGACATGCACTGACTTATTTTACAACTACACAATTTTTTCTTTTATCACCGAGGTGCCATTTGATCAGAGGTCTAAACACAAACTTAACACTTTATCTTAAAACGACTTCTCGTGGGACTTATGAACTACTAAAGTCATCGTGCACACGACAGCACAAGAAGTGTTAGAAGGATATTTAAAGGCTGAACAGTACATATTAAATAATTGATTTCCCAGTAATAACCTGTCGTAGATAAATGCTTATTATTGAGTTTGTTTTGATTAATTACGATCACTCACTTAAAGTCATTATGTCTTTACGTTTTTAATTGAATTACTGTTGCTGGTGAAATGAGAGATGGAATCGTGTCACGTATATACCATCGATTACTGTTTCTCTATATCAATCATATTATGTAATGACACTATATGTTTCCAAATAGATTTTTAGAATGAAGGGATCATATAATTCCAACTGGTACATTGTAATAATTTTGATACAAGAACAATTCGCCATTATTTGTATATAGCAATCTTGAATTTCAATTAATTTAATTAAATGGTAAATGTATATTAAAAGACCTCAATGTAAGTCTGCCGCTGTTTCGGCCTTTCACTGGTTTCAGTATGCCTGATCATCCCGTATATATGTATTATTTCTCTTTATGTTATTGTTTATTCAGTTCAGTAAGATTATTAATAGTCCACAAACAGACGCCGGTCTTAAAAGTTTTTGATGAGACATTTTCTCCCAAATCGCTTTCAGATGAGACACGAGTTAAGTCATCCGATCGACACCTGACGCCCGCAAGGTGCGACGACCCCCGTCGGTAAATATTGATGTTGGTTTTAAGTGTCATCAAAGGATTCACTCCCCCAAGTGTGCTTTGTCTTTAAAGTTTTAAGGCGAATTTAAAAGTTCCATTAGTGACTGGGCTGAGCGCGTGTGTGTGTGTGTGTGTGTGTGTGTGTGTGTGTGTGTGTGTGTGTGTGTGTGTGTGTGTCTGTCTGTCTGTCTGTCTGTCTGTCTGTCTGTCTGTCTGTCTGTCTGTCTGTCTGTCTGTCTGTCTGTCTGTCTGTCTGTATACACAAAATACAATCAAGGCCTATACCTGGCATAAGGACAACAAGTAAAATATTAGGTTTATAACTATTTGTATTACAATTGTGCATCAATGTGGACATTACATGTATCTCTTATCATGTTCTTATAAATGTGTCTTCCCCATTTACGACAAAAACAGAATGTGTATTTATTTTTGTCATGGTTTTAATTCTCTTCTACAACTCGGTGAACCCTAGTGTTTTACTGAAGACCTTTTTTGTGTGCCTATGTTTAGTGTTTATGAGTTTAGTGATCGCAGTGGTCAGTATGGGAATTATTAGATAGTGTCCAGATTGTGTGTATTTAGTACACAAGGTCAGAAAAAAGCCTCCAGCAGCTCCTTATATTCCCATAAGGATCCGAATAGTAAAGGCAAACAATATGCAAACAAATGGAGACATTTAGAGAAGCTATGGTCTTACCTATTGGTGATATTTTTGTAATGTTAAACCCAATACATTAAGTTAAAGTTTCAAATTTAGACTAAATGGTAATAACCCTGTGTTGCTCATTAGGAACGGGAATCAATGTTTATCCTGTTGAAAGCAACCCAAGCCCAACCTGTAAAGAAACGATTCCACGGTCAGGTAGCCCCCCTCCTCTACTAAAAAAAGGTTTGTCCACTCCTATCTGATCCAGAGGTGGCGATGTGTAGTTTCTTTGTGCTCCTGCTGGTGAGGTTCTGAGGCTTGGGAGGCAGCGAGCTCAGTTCTTTTATAGCCACGAGACCCACTCTGAGCTGCAGAACACGCCTAATGAGGGCGTGCAGCGGTGCCATGTGAGACATGCCAGCTTTTACCAGGCTGGGTAATTGCTTGTGACCTTCACTAAACACGTCTCATGTGTCTTCATGTTCTGAGCAAACTTCTAATTGTTACATAGCGGGAGATGCCTGAGGATAACGCATGTACTTTGACGGTTTTGTGGGGAGAAGCAGACATATCCCCTGTTAAATGTTTAGTAGAGGTGTGTCTATTTGGTCAGCGTTTGTGAAGACATTTCTTTGTGGACCCCTTCTTTAGCCCAAATGTAATATTAAGGCCACTAAAATGTCTCAATAAGACAGCCCATTTGTTTCTGTTTTTTATTGTACCCATTACATAACCTAAAAAGTATGGGTCCATCAGAAATGGGTGGATCCTGTTAGTTTTAATGTTATACTGCTGGCTGTCCTTGGGATTCCACAACAACTTTGTTGTGTGTTGGTTAACAAATCTGGTTTTCATTGAAAGTGGAAACATATTAGGAAAATACAAAGGACATTTTTCTCTCTGTTGCTAATAAAAAAACTAACTGTCATCCCAAAATATGACCAGACTACAGTGTGAGTGTCTATAAACATGTTTCAGATCTGGAATTCTGAATTCTGGTATTGTTCACACATGCTGTGCGCTTGTTTGCTTTTTATTGAGATACATTTCATGCACATTTATTTTTGCCTAATGATAGATTTAATCTTATGCCTCAAAATCAAATACAGAGAGGAAAGATGAGATCTATATTTCAAATTGTATTTTTTTAGGGGGAAGAAGGGTTAGTTATATCATGCCACCTCTTCTGCATCAGGTTAGGGTTATGGCCAGGGACCTCTTCCAAGAAGATGACTCTTCAAACTAACTAAATATTTATTTTTGCCAGATTAGGTTTTAGCTTCCATACTGTACCAACTGCAGAGTGTATATTAGTATATAAGGTCATGATATAAACATGAATCTTCTGAATTACAGCAGCTGTTTCTTCCGGAACACTGTAGATTACGCACAGTATGATTCTGTAAGACTAAACAGTTTCTTCTTATCATGATGCACCGTATTAAGATAAAAGTATGACCTCTAAAAATAAGCAGT